ACAGTTTGCATACAAATGTCAGATCTGTAAAAACGAATGTACACGCAAAGCTCAAGTTGTGGATCAAGACCAAAATCGAGGAGTGGACGAACAGCTGCAGCTTTCTGCTGCAGTTTACAGCCAGTGAACACAAAGAAGAAGAAAAAAATCATCGCAGATAAAGTGTTTTCGGCGTTTGAAAGTTGTATCGTACTAGTGTAAAATAACTTGTGCGTGAAGTGATCACTTTCCTACTCCATTCTTAGACATCCCGGCATGCTGACAACCGCTAAGACCCCGCCTCTCTTATCTGGATCGGGTCATGCCTTTAGATGACCCCGAAACTTGAGTGAAGGTCAATATTTACCTATTAAGGAGAAGGAGTCGTGAGGGTAAAGGTTGTGTGCCTGGTGCTATCTGCAGATCAGGTAAACGACAGGCCCAGTGTTGGAACAAGATCTAACAACTTTCCCATGTGGGTTCTGGGGCCATAAACCATAACAATACATGTCGTCACCCTTCGTTTTCTGGGTTATTTTAAGAAGGAGGAGCGGCAGGAACAAGAAGAAAAACAAAGATGAAGAAGAATGGTGATTAAAAAAAAAATAGAAGAAGAAGAAGAAGAAGAACAACAACAACAACAACAACAACAACAACAACAACAACAACACAACAACAGCATCAACAATAGCAAAAGCAACGATAGTAGCAACCAAAGAAGGAGGAGGAAGTCCGGTTGGAACTTGTGCTAAACTACGTCATGAGACACAAGAACAAATGTTTCGGATGAAAGTCAAGACTGTCACCAGATAGTGCACTGCAGACAGCCCTGTAACTTAGAAAGTACGGAGGCAGGTCTAGAGGTCGATAACACAAGTCATGGAAGGATAGAATAACTGATGATAAATACCAGCACCTACGTACTATTTACTACGGCTTGCACCCAATACCTCTCCAAAACTTGATTCTAAAAGCCGGAACAGGACCAGCGAAGATAAAGAAGAACGTTTACTGTCTTGACTGATAACAGTTATTTTTGTTCATTGTCTCAAGTCAGTGGTCTTTAACCTTTCTCAGGAGACTGCTCCTTGAGTATATAGTAAGGAACAACCCCCCCCCCCCCCTTTCCCTTAATCACCCCAGACAAAACAAAATGTGGTTTAAAATGAAAAGGGGCAATGTGTTTTCAATCTATAATTATATTCGTTTTAAAACTGGGTTACATATTTTCAATTCTAATGGTATTCCGATTTTAACATATGAATGTAAAAGTTAGAGAATCACTAAAGGTATGAAACAAAAGTTCAGTGCATTCGAAAACACATGTCTGAGGAAAACAGTGAAAAAAACTGGGATGAATTCAAATGGCGTGAAGAAATCAGAGAAATGTCTGTTTAGCGACAGAGAAGATGGCGCTATATTGGATGCACCTGAGATGAAACCAGCAGAGAATCACCAAAAACAGGCAGATAGGAAACAGGGGCATTGAGCAAGCAAAGACGCCCGTGGTTAGTTGCGTATTCTTTGCAGGACGTTGCAGAACCAACCCCAACAGCCCCTGGCTGTAGTGTGGTTTTTCTAGGCAAATTTACCTCCAGTAGTTTGCTATTGCGCCATGACCGGTCGGCTTTCTTGATACCACTGTCGAAACCAAAGCAAGGCGCATGGCCCGTAGCTGGGATCGAACCCGGCATCCTAGCATTTCAAAGCGTTCGCATCGACTAAGCCACAGAGCCAACAAAGACGCCCATAAGAAACCCCCCAAAAAAAGACCGTCGACGAAAGAGGCCAGGGGTGCTGGGCTGGATTCCACCCATGATATTGAACTGATCGCACAAGGTAGAACGGAACTGATGAATAAACTGCTAGCCCTATGTGACATCTAAAGGCACAACAGGAAAATGAATGAATGAATTAACGCATTACTTAAAAATGGCCGGCCCATGGATCACGCAGACATTGTCATTGCCCTTAGAGAGATAGGACGTTCTGAGGATTTTAGAAGCAATGTGTCCACATCACTGCTACGAATACGCGAATTAGGAGTAAAGATCGGCACAGCCAAGCATGAGAAGTACACCGGACGCACACGAAATCTTGTTAACCAACATAGGACTGGCACTATTAACCGCACGACGTTGATGAATATGTTTAGAGGGGAATCTCAGCGCCTATGGATTTGTCCGGAGTGCTGTGAAGATAATTTAACTCATAACTCAATTAATGAATGAATGAATCTGTAATTAAATGCACTTATCATATCAATTCGATTTTCTAATATATATAGAAACTATAATGTTACCCTGGTAAGTCACGTGACTACGGTGAGCTTCCGACGGCCATAAAACACACAGGATGCGTCGGAAGAAACTTTTGGCATTTCAGTTGGATTTATTCAGTTTTGTGCTTCATTTTATGTTTATATAACTGTGTAGGTTTTTAAAGGGTTCGGAAATTATAGGGAAGAGAAAAAGTTGGTGAGAAAAAACAAACATGTAAGCTTTACAAAATCTATCACAATAAACAAACAAAGGACGTTGCGGCGATTAGCCTTCAACAGCACATAAAGAACAATACAGTACACATACACAAATATGCTCTAACTATGAAGTGACTACATGGGACTAATGTACAAAATAAATTATACTTATCTGTGTCTCTGGCGAAAAACTTCCTATAACTGTGTAGTAACGCACCTGACGAGATACAGCGAAATGTGCCCAGCAATAAATTGTGCAATATATTGTTTGTGCCCGCATTATTTAAATTCATTACGGGAAAACATTGTTTGGATTATAATGAAACTGTGGAATAAAGGTTAGTATAACGGATTATTTCAAGTACAAATGGGCTCATTTTTACAGTTACTCGACACCCCCTCGCCCCCCCCCCTTTCCCCTGAAACTTCCTCTTGCCCCTAGACGTTACACCACAACGGCGCCCTCTGTGGTGAGTAGGGTCATGAAAACACTTTGTGGCGATTTCTGGCACCTTACATTCTACAGAAGACGAAAAAGACAGTTACAACACTATATAAGATTAAATGATGCTAAATACTGTCGTTACAGTGTTAAATGTTGGTAAATGCTGTCGTTGGAGTGTTAAATGTTGCTAAATGCTGCGGTTAGAGTATAAGGGACATATACTAATCCATGACATATTCAAACACGTTGAATAATTATACTCATCTCTATCCTTTCCTCCAAGAGTAATCTGATAAATATCAGGTGTCAGTCTATTAGCCAGACAGGCTCAAACCAATACGTTATGGTAGCGGAAATATTTCAGGGGCGAGGGCGAAGAATGCAAACAACCTCATAGACTGTGAAAGGGGAGGGAGAGAGAGTCAGAGAGTCAGAGAGAGAGAGAGAGAGAGAGAGAGAGAGAGAGAGAGAGAGAGAGAGAGAGAGAAGGTGGAGAAAAGGGGGGGGGGTGCGGGTGGCTGCTCTGCATTAAATAGCTCAAAATCGTAAACATCTTCTCCTTATTCGTGCTTCCCGGCTGTAAATACCTGCGGAAAGTTCTGGTTGTTCAACCATCGCTGGGCTTTCGACTTGTTCCAGAACCTGAGTGTTGCTTGCACATCTGTTTTACAGATCAGACTTATTTGTATGCAGACTGTTCATTCCTCGCCTCTCAGATAGATGCACTCCGACTTAGAAGGAAACCCCTAATAGGTCGACTCTTACGACATACTTGATATGGAGGCAGTGTGTCTATTCTGGGGGGGGGGGGGGGGTTTTCAGTACAACGGAGTCCCGGAACCCACACGGGGAATCGTAAACTGTTAGTTCATACAAAGCCAGATGGGTCACAATTTGTTTCTTTTATATTAAAGTCCCACCCCAAGAGGACTTCACGTTCCTTTGTTACTGTCGTCAGGTGCTTTCATATAGCCTTACGGTTGAACGGGGTTTCTGGGTCTCGTGTCTGGATAATTCTTATCTAAATGGTGGCACTTTGTGTCAACGGGTGTTAATCGCTCGTTGTGCTGTTCTGCTGGGGTACAACGATTGGTCCATAAAAAATGTGAGTCGTGCAAAGACCGGCTCCAGCTGACGGGTTATATGCTGCTGACATCACCAAAACGGGCTAACGATACGTTAACGCAGCGATTCTCAAACCCAGGGGTGCCGCGAGTGTATTTCAGGGGTGCCGCGAGTGTATTTCAGGGGTGCCGCGAGTGTATTTCAGGGGTGCCGCGAGTGTATTTCAGGGGTGCCGCGGCAATAATCAAGGATTTTTCCAACGCTGCGTTAACGTATCGTTAGCCCAGTTTGGTTACGTCAGCAGCATGGTCTGTCAGCTGGAGCCGGTCTTGGTCTAGCATAACATTTTATTGCCCCACTGAGATAAAGAAAAGGATCCTTTCTCGCGCCTTCAGGCGTGTTGGGCATATAAGGCTAGACCTATATTTGTATAGACTAATCGGCAGTTGTTGTGGTCAGCGTCACGTAGGCCGCCTTTACTTCACAGGACTGTACCTAATACCTGCTCAAGGCTGGGTTGACCAGGGACCAAGGTTATTTTTTTTTAAAAGTCCAGCTTCCTCAGGACTTGAACCCACAACCTTCCGATCCGCAGGCGAGCGACTAGCTGCTACACCACAATGGATCCCTCCACTGGAGTAAATAGGGACAGTGAAAATTATATGGATATATTATAGGAAGACAAAATGAAACCCACACAGTGAAACCCACACAGTGAAAACATAAGGGCTTCAAGGGTAGAGGGCGCAAAGCCCTCTTCCAAATTTTCTAGGTGTGGGCAGAGGCCCTTCAGTTGGAAGGTGGAGGGATAAGCCTTCTTTAAATATGTAATAGTAATAATAATAAAATTAATATTAATAATGTGCTGGATGGCAAAACGCTGAAATATATATTTTAAAATAACATGAAATTGTCGCAGTTAGTAGTTTCTGCACTACAGTCAACAATGGCGTATTTGCTGCCAACATCTGTTTTCTCTATTAAGACAGCAATTTCTTATTTGTCACAGTATGTCATTATTCTCCATTTTAGGCAACAATGACGTGTTTGTCACGATACAACTGGGCAAGGAGAAATATCAGACTTCAACGATCAAGTCCGCCCTGAATCCAGAATGGTTTGAAGAGTGTGATCTGTGAGTTTGCTTTTCTTTATTGATTTTATTTTATTTGACTTTGCTGCAGACACTCGATGCTTCATTATTGACCCAACTCACGCAACACAAAACGTCATCATCATCATCATCTTCGTATGGCAATTGTGATCTGTCTTTTAAAAAAAATCCTTAGTCAGTTTTACTAAAAACATTCTTTACTTCACACACACACACACGCACACGCACACACACACACACACGAGAGAGAGAGAGAGAGAGAGAGAGAGAGAGAGAGAGAGAGAGAGAGAGAGAGAGAGAGAAAGAGACAGAGACACACGGACACACAGACTTGTGTGACGGACACACAGACTTGTGTGTGTGCGTGTATGCATACGTACGAACGCACATAATAGTGACCTACCTTAAAATGAGCCCATAGATATTGATGGCAAATCCCACTGACTTAGGCGTCAATAACTGTGTGTGTAAAGTAGAGCAGCGAAAATTTTACAATCATTGAAGGAGAATCAGACAGAATTACCTTAAAAAGTGTGGCATGGAACTAAGAGTAGGAGAGAGACAGAGGCTGTAAAGTCTGCATTCGAAGTTTTGAGCTAAACGTTTTAAAGTCGACGTTTAAAGTCGACTGATACGACAGGTCGACGACTTGAACGTCGCATTGACATTATATCATGGTGTGATATAGTTATGTTGGTTGACGATTGTAATTTTCCTCTTTGTATATTGGCACTGTACTCTCTAGCTGTTATATTTTCCCAGTTAGTTTCAGTTGTACTCTGATAGTTGTAGTTGTTTTGTACTACCCACCAGATGAATTTGTACAGTATGACGGTTGTTATAATGACCATATCTCTACACATTTTATTACCGTTAATTGTTCGACCACTCCAAGGCCCGTCACCGACATGAGATCGGAAGTCCAAGTCAGCCTCTTTCACCGCGGCGTCCTCTCAGACGATTTTCTGGGATACGCAGCCATTCCTCTTTGGGAGCACAAGGTCACAGAGTCATCGGCCAGCAGGTTCGTAGTACTGATGTCTTCGGTGGGCTTTTCCTTTGCTGCTTCTTCTTCTTTCCCTCCTCCATCTTCTTCTTCGATTTCTTATTTTTTCCCCTCCCTATACCATTTTTTCTCCTTAACCTTTTCGTCTCTCTTCTTCTTTTCGTGATAATCTCTTCTTCTTCTGCTTTTTCTTTTTTTTTTCTGCTCTTCTTCTTCGTCTTCTTCTTTTTCCTTCTCTTTTTCTTCCCCACCTCCTCTTCTTCTTTATCCTCCTCCTCCTCTTTTTCTTCTTCTTAATTCTTTAATTCGTCTTTCTATTCTTAATGAATTACAGACTCTCATTGAAAACCTTCCCTTTCTTACATAACATCGAATGAAATTGGTTCAAAGCTACTTTATTTCTACGGGATTGAGGTAGAATCAATCTGTCAATGCAGCTGTGTGTAAGCGGTTATTGAGCTGTCAACATAGTTTTGGTTATTTGTGATTTTTATTGCGCTTTTTATGAATAAACGAATGAACGAGAGTGGTGGTAGTTAGAGCGAGAGATAAAGTGATAAGGAGGGTATTACACAATATAAAGTTGTGAAGAAATGAATGAACGAATTCATGAAAAAAAGACAGAAAGAAAAGACAACCAATTACCTCGGAACATTTTACGTTCTACGTCAGCGCTGGGCGAGTTAAGGTTCTTTAAAATGCCGGCAAATCTGCCAAGTCAGTAGAGAAGTTCCGGTCCATGTTACCTTGATACCAACCACATTCCAGAATGTACTATCAGCTCATGTTCTCATGTGTGCACAGCGATAAAGGGGCGACTGCTGGGAGATCCAGGTATCACGTAGAGCAGTGTTCCTCAACCGTCTTACACCGACGGTCCACCTGAGAAGAGGAACTTGTTGCGAGGCCAACATGACAGCTTACCTAACAGAAAGCCCGGCTCTCTAGCCTAGTTGGCTAAACCGGACTGCGCGGAGACCGGGTGACGAACTCCTTGTGGTCCGGGTTCAATCCCGGAAGTAGGCAGGAAAGCCACATTTTCTACCAGATTTACGGTATTTACAATGGAATCAAGGCCGAAAGGTTTCGATATCCATAGTACCGAGCCTAAGGGTTGACAACTCATGGCTTCTGGATACTAAAACAAACAAATAACAAACCTACCAGAAAAGTTTGAAGTTTAAACAATGGATCAACATCATATCACAAGCTGTGCTAAGTCGTCCCCATTTGGGACGCTATTTTTCGTTTTTTTTTTAAACCTCAACCTGGGTATTTGTCCGGGGCCGCATTATAGCCTGAAGGTTGAACGCGGTTTCTGGGACCTCTCCACGGGTGATCCTCATCTTCATGGTGACACTTTGTGCCACAGCTTGTTTATCGCTCTGCGTGATGTCCTGGTGGGATAAAATATACTATTACTACTAACAGCACAAGGGTCGTAACCCATAAGTGCTCCGTTCTATTTCTGACTCAAGTAGCTCAGCGCAGTGCACGGGCTCCGTGGCACCGGCGAGGATCCTTAAAATATTTTGGGTACATTTCTAACTCCATATTTTTCCCGGGCAGCGCCTTAGTGTACTCTTTTCAATTTCTAACTGCTACGGATTTTTTTCACGTATGCAACAATACACACGGGCGTCCAATCTCACTACCAAGAGACCAGGGGAAATTACTAGAAGTCCAACTGAAAAAATCCCAGCTGTCGTGGAACAGGTTCCTTTTACACTCACTAAAGTGGTGTTATCTTGTTAGGAACCGAGACAACTGTCTTTTGGTGCAAAGAGCAGACAGTGTCCCTGGATACTCAGATACAGACTCGAATTGGCTCGCGAAAGAAGGTGAGCTGCCTGAATATCCCCAGAAAAGGGATAAGGGAATTTAGATGCCTAAACACTTAGACAGAGCAGGTTACCCCTCCCGACAATTTCCCTTTCTGGTAATAAAATTAAGCCCCCATCTAGACTATGTATATTGGTAGACAACACTGACACCATACATACATCTAGAAATAGAAATAAACTTTAACTATGAGTTTAAATCAATCATAGGAACGTTTATTAAAATTAAAGTAAAATTCAATCATCTATTTACTTTTGAAAATACATTATTCAAACTAAGTAGGATGAAAGATAAAAATGATAGTAACATGAAACTGTCGTCATGAGAGGATCAGTGGGAAATAACATACAACAATTACCACCTGGAGTTTCCCCAGAGGATCATCCATTTCAAAGACTGAGGTGGAATGTTGATCTGTCCCAAGCACCAAGATCTTCCTTAGGGCACTCCAATCATTAGCTACAACCAGCCTGGCAGTGGTTTGGAAGCTCGTCCTGCCACAAGGAATCTGTCCTCGGCTTTTCAGCAGCTAGGGATGGAAACAATCAAAAAATATATAGTCCCTGCTGTTTTGCAAAATAAAATATATTTCCAACTTTCCCCTCTCTCTTCATATTGTCAGAAGTGGGATAATGGTCTAGTAGCCTTGTCATTTACATAGCTTCCACTTCTGACTACTGTCCAGTCCAGATGAATGTCTTCCATCTTCTGTCCTTCAGGATGATAGTGTAATACCACTCATTTACACAGACTCAGACAGCAATATGCAGTTGTAAATGCAACACAAAATCAGACAGAATGTTATAGAATTCTCTCTATAAATGTTGAGAATTCTAGATAAAAGGTCTTGCCTTTCCTGTCTTCCAGATATTCCACTGGGTGTTTTCTTGGACAGCATGTCCTCAAAATCACAGCATTTAATACTGCTGTGTATAAGTAAAATGATACATTAATAACATCATGAATAATACATCAATAACCTGAAAACAAAATTCAGCACTTCTACAACAAGCAAACATTATGAATTATAGAAGTATGAGCATGAGAAGAACAATGTCTCCTATGAAATGTTACCATTGAAATGTTACCATTATCTACACAGACTCTAATAACCAGCCATAGATCATTCATCTACCAGCAATAGAAGATAGATAATTTCTTAAGAGTCTTAGATACAGCAAACAGAAGTAACCTCCTAGATACCGAACAATAGGAATCAGGAATAGATCATAAAGAAATGGTTTCCTGTCCATGTGCAGAAATGGGTCAGCGTGGTTTTTCCTCGGGCTGGTACAATTTTAATATTGTACACGAAATGCGGCCCCAAAACTGAAATCACGATTTAATTAACAGTTACTGTGCTCACCTGGATTTAGATGTAACTATATGGTCATGTTGCTAGGGTTTTTAGGCGGCGAGAAAGACAAAGTTCTGCCAAAACGGCCCGCTCTAACACCTGCTTGCTGACCTGAAGTAAAATGGCTGGCAATCTTGTCTCACTGCGGGATCCGGTGTTTGGCCAGGATTTTTCCGCTACGTTGCCGAGTTACTAGCCGTATATTTTTTATACGTGAAAGCTCAGGGGAATTACAAATAAGACAATGGAAAATCCCCAAACAGCAACCGTAGGCTATAACCGGGATATCTCTCAATGCGTCTTATGACGAAAATGAAGTCACTGGGCGCATGTAAGAGGGAAAAATAGAAGGGTCACAAAGGGGTGGTACGTCAGCCAAGTATCTTGTCTACTTTAAGCGGCGTCTCGCGACAGAAGCCCCCCTTTCGAAGCTTTCTGTAAGAACGCTAAGATCGCTGTCAAGTAGAACAAGAATACCAGACTACCACTTCCTGGCTCCCAAGACTTCCACTGGTCTGAATTTCCAGTAGTCTTTATGACAATGTCTTGTCCAGTAGATGTGCTTAAAATGCATGCACCAGTGGTGTACTGACCGTTTGTCCGGAGGTATTGCATCCCCCAGAATCAATGATTTCGTGGGTCTGGATGCTGAGATACCAAGGCCAACCTGATAACAACTCTTAACCCACAATGTACCTAGATTCTGCCCTATCAAAAGCGGTAGAGCTTGTAGGGACTGCTTGTATGGAAGAGTCACAGTGCAACTATCTTCCGCTATTCTCCTCCACCCATTATCAATCTTGGTACAATCTGTCACTTTCCTTTTGGTATAAGGGATGGCGTCCATCAAGGTACCATGAGGTTGGCGCAGTTTACCACTGACTCTTTCTTGGTAGGGGGTCAACTTGTCCCCTCCTGTGTGCATTCTGTCCTCCCCTTCATAATTGATCGGGGTGAGTTTCTCATGAATAGAGCTCCTTTCGGAATCAGAGCACAAAAGTAGTTCAGTAAATACAGTCACATCAGTCAGAAGTGGTTCGTTTTCTGAAGATGCTAAGGTGGTATTGCTTCGGACCGAAGCTTCTACCGGCAGCTGAGTTACTCCTGTCGCATCTTTCGAAGTGAAGAGTACTCTTAGACCAGAGTATTTGGTTTCCCTTTTACTCTTGGCTTGTTCAGCCACAATGTCCTTCATCTGAAGTTCCCCTGTGGTGTCAGCTGCACAGGCAAGAGATAGGCTCTCTCCCTGCCCAAAAGAAGTACATTCTTTTGTGTTGATGGCAAACAGTGCTGTTTGACCATTTTCAAAGTTAATAAGGCTTACAGGAATTTCCTGCTCATCAAGAGTTTCCTTCCCAGAATACTCTGCAAAGACCTCAGGGAAAGTATCCTCTGTGTCGGTTATTTCCTCCCTGGTCAAGCTTTTATGGGCCAAGTCCAGAGGGAGTAAATAAAGTTGAGTGCTGCTGCCATCACAGTCACCCATCTGGGATGCCAAATCAGAACTGATACTCATCTCCCTATTGCATGTGGCTGCATCAAGGGAAATGAAAAAAACAGATTTACTGTTATTCTCTGTACTATGCTGCCATGATTCCACTTCTTGTTTAACATTACCGAAGGGCATCAAAGAGTCACTGAAGGTGCTACCTTCCCTTTCATTATTGGCTAGTGTCCCAGTCAAACCGCCATGTTTACGGTTCCAGCAGTTATCACGTTGGTGGCTGCTGTTCGATGTGTTCGGGGTCCTCTTAGTCCTACACTTCCCTTTCGGAACATGCCGATTCCCTTCTTTCACTAAGGAACATAAGAAGTTAAA